ATGATGAAGTTTCCATTTGCTTCAGTAGACTTTCTTTCATATGTTTTAGGGGCTGGCTTGAACCTTGTTTGCAGGAACTGTTAGGTGGTCTAATACCTCTTTGGTATGTTTTGGCTGGAAATTTTAATTAAGGCACAATCAGGAAGTTCTTTAAATGCAAGAGTGTTCCAAGAATAATTAAGAAGTTCTTTAAATGCAAGAGTGTTCCAAGAATAATTAATGGTTTTGAAAATTCTAGTATATTCGTTAATATTTGTGCTTTTGCTTTGGTATAGCTGAATATACACACACACACACACAACTATACACACACATAATGTATGTACTTATAAATTCATGTGTTTACTGACATATATAGTATTATAGATAAGACATATTTTTATATACGTTAAACAGTGCATATATATACAGAGAGGTCTGCTTAAATGTCTTTAAATACATTTAAATAAATACACCAGGCAATTATATAATGTAATGGAGAGAGTGCCTGGCTCTTAAGTCTAGGCATCAGAGTTCTGAGCGGTAAATTCAACTAGGTTCCATTTCTGTGTTTTAGTATTGTCATGTCAAAAAGAGGGAGTGGGTCTTGGTGGTCTCCAAGGTTGTCTTTAGAGAGCTCTAAAACCTTTTGAGTCAATGACTATAATAGAATTTTTAGCCCAATTCCAATATTCTTTTGCCTTTTAGTTCAAAAGCAAAGAGGAACATTGCTAATGAACCAATCCTTTTATGTAGCAGTCAGTGCCCTAAAAATTTTATTATGTATTATGTGACTGAAGATTGGTTCTTTGTATAAGCTCTTCTGGGTTGGGACCAACTTTCATTCTAGGGAGTAACTTACGTATTTCTAGAAGAGGTCTACGGTGCTTGAATCTGAACTTGAACCTTGTGGTGAGCTTGATTTTTCTCCTTAATACACCAGTTTTTGAAAAGCAATTTTTCTTTCCCTGGCTTTCACAGTTTCTTGCACATTGCAGGCACTCAATAAATATTTATTGAATTGAATTGAATTTGACCTGCTTTGGAGGCATAGTCCTGGTGTAGGGTTATTCATTTTCAGCAGGAGCTGTCATAAATCACAGAGTTTAGTACTAATGCACCTGATGAACTGCATGCAGCGGCATGTGGTAGTCTGGCATTGTATGTAAATTTGCACCTTCCCAAGTGCAAATTCAGAAAACTGTGACCTAAGGGGCCTTGGTGAACTGAGTCTAGCCTATTTTAAATATATTTGTACCACTCACCCATTGGTTTCCTGTGTCCCCACCTTTTTGAATGAATGCTCTGATTCTGCTCTTCACACACCCTACACTCTGGTGTAGGCCTTTCAAGCCTTTGCACATACCCCTTTTCCTGGAATATTCCTTTTACAAATTCAGGTATGCCTTTCCTAACACTCCCGTGTATATACAAGTGAGCTGCCTCATTTCTCCTCTAGCACTTTGTCCATTCCTTTTTTGCCGTACCCAAATTCTCCTGTAATTCTTTTTTAAGCCACTAGTCTTTTTCACTAGAAAATTGGAGAACAGGTCTGTGATTTATTTCTTTCTGTATTCCCTAGGGCCTGAAACAATGCCTGACACAAACATTTGTAGAATTAAAAAGTCAGTCCTGAAGTTCATGTAAATTTGCAAATGGAATAAAATAAAAATGTAAATGAGTTTTACTAGAAATCATCAATTACATGCCTGATACTAATTAAATTGTGATATAGTTAGAAAGAAGATCAGCCTGAGATTCAGATGATGCAGGCTCTTGTGTTGGATTAATGACTTTTTAATAGTCCCTTAATCTTTGTAGTTCTTAGTTTCTTTATCTGAAAATGAATGGATTGGACAGGATCTTTACTAAGATCCCTTCGAGCAAGAATTACATTGCTCCTAAGTTAATTATAGAGAACTAGGTCTCTTCTGCCAGACTCCTTGAGGCAGGAAGTATGTTCTAATCATCTTTAATTTCCTGGCACAAAGCTTAGTACCTGGTATATAGTATTTATTCAAACAATGTTAATAAAGCGATAAATTCCCAGGAGTATTATGATTTAAATAAAGTGAGAAAAAGGTCAGGTAGATAATAGTAAATTAACAATGTGTAACATTTAAAAGAGTCTTTATAGTTATTTGGAATGTCTGGAAAAAGTACCTGAGAGAATTTTTTTTTTGAATTGTGGTTTTCTTGGCCCTGGGAGAAGTTTTTTATTTATCAGTTAAAATATTCAACAGTAGAGGAAATGGATTTGAAACTGCCTAGTCCCCCAACTACAGGTTAATAATTTATCAATCTGTGACATGTACCAAGTTTTATGTTGCTGAAATTAAACTGCTCCTGCTATAGGATGTTGGTAGTAATATATTTGAAAATTGTGCATACTTGTTATACTATCTTTCAGTTTTAAGAATTGAAAAACTACATCCTGTTCCAACCAGGATTTGTTAAATCATTGACATATTTGTGACAACATTAGTCTTTAGTGGAGAATGAATGTCCCTGATTATATCAAAATATCACAAAAATGAAGTGTAAAAAAAGTTTCATTGGCCCTTTTAAGTGTCCTTTTGTGAAAATTTGGCATCTTTTGAGAAATTATTTGCTGTCTCAACCTTTCTATTTCTTTATAAGATCAAAATATTGTTTTTACATTTAAATTATGCCTATACCTTTGGGTTATAGATTTGAATAACAGTATAATTTAATCATGAAAATAAGGAAGTAATATAATCATACTATTTATGTATAATTTATATATATTTTATATATATAATTCCAGAATCAACCAACCAAGCCATCCATATTTCTATTTTACTTCTGTGCGCGCGCTCTCTCTCTCTCTCTCTCTATACTATATACTATATATATATATACACACACTATATATATATATATACTATATATATATATATATATACTATACATATATATACACTAGACAATTCTGTTTCAGGCACTGTATACAAAAAAGAAGAAGAAAATGAAAGTGCCTTCAGTGAATGTGAGAAATTATTGTCTTAAATTAGGGGCGGATGCTTGATAGTTTGAACAAGATTTTTCTTCACACACACAAAAAATTGTATGGTTACTTATTAAAGAATGCAAGTGACACAATTTTTTTCTTTTGTTGTTTCCTCAGTTTTTTATTTGTGATTCTTGAAAGTGTTATTGTTCAACTGCTTTCTATTTGGCCCAGGCACTTTTATGAATACCCAGCAGTGGTTCCATGTTTTGGAGAACCTGAATTTTGGAAAGATCTTTTTAATAAAAAAGAATACAAATACTAAAGTATAAATACAAAATTGGGTATGAGAGTAACTTTTCTTAAAACAGTAAAGTTACAACAAGTTATACTTTAAAAATATGATAAATCCATGAACATCAGGGAATCTCAACTCTGTGCATTTTATATTTTGATTCTCTTCTGTTGTCCACATATACTTCCAGTTCTGGGTACCACTGGAAGTATATGTGGACATTCAAATTACCAGATTTGATCCGGACCTCCCTCCTCCCCTGCTGGGCTAGTCAGCACTGTGGCCACTTGAAGTATTAAGCCATTCTTGCATCACAACTGCTGACAATAATTTAACTAGTTCCAGAAACGAGTGTGTACTTCACATATACCTTTCACTAAAACTAAACTAAATGTATCTCCAGCTCAAATTCTAGTTAGCCAGATTCTGAAAATGCCTGTGACTACTCCAGCAGCACCCAATAGAAAGAAAAGGAAATGTGATGGAAGTAAAGCCGCATGAGAAAAAGACAGCATGTTAACCAATTGCATTTAAGTTATCTTGCTCTTGAAAATTTTATATTAAACAAAATATTAAGGCCTTTAAGAGTTAAGTGTCCGAGGGACCCTGAAGTTTACACTTTGCTAGTTTCTCAGTAAATCTGCCTGTATTTGTGTGTATTGTGCATTTTGTAAGAGTGTGCACCTTCACGCTATGTATGGTCTTATGCCATTCCCAGTGATTTCATTAAATAATTAATTGGATGGTTTATTATGCCCTATTTCAAGGGGTAAGAATGAGATATGTTAATTTTGATCAAATCACATGAACATGTGGAAGTGAATATAGTAGTTGAATCACTATCTTTTCTTGCTAGCAGAAGGTATTTTCAGTTCTGCAGGCAGCCCTGAACACCCCAGTGGCTGTGTGGCACCTGAATGACTGAACCGTTATGCTGTAACACAGGCTTGTAGGCATGGGACATGCTCTGGGGAGGTAGGAAAGACTCGTTCTAACCTGACACTTATTTATTACTTAATAACTCAGTCATTAAAATTGTGCCTCTTTGTTTTATTCTCTTCAGGGTGAGAAACAATATACCAAAACATTAATTAAAATCAATGACAGCATTTTAGCTGGAAGTTCAATGTAGTAAAATAATGCAAAAATATGAGACTGGTTACCAGTAGAAGAGGCTCATTTCCTCATTTTTATTTAAAATGGTGACTTAGTGGTATACAATAACTAGCATCCTGAAATTCTTTTAAGCCATGAACAATAAAATGTTGTAGAAGAGAGAATGAAATCTTAGGGGTTGAAAGTAAAGATATGACATAAAAAAATCAAGCAAAAAACAAACTCATGGAAACAGATAACAGTATGGCGATCCCCAGAAGGAAAGGAGGGTGGCGGGAGGTAGAAGAGAGCAAAGGGGCAATGAAGGGTGATGGAAAGAGACGGCCTGCAGTGGTGAACACACGGTACTATGTAGATGATATATTACAGAGTTGTAGGCCGGAAACATATATAATTTTATTAACCAGTGTCACCCCAATAGGTTCAATTAAAAAAACCGAACAGGAGGAGAAGAAATAGGATTTAATTGTATTAAGATAGATGCAGATATTTGTCAGCTCTTTGTAGGCTGGTGTTAATAATTTTAAGATCAAAATTTATATTATGGAAAGTGAAGAAATAGTACATAGTTTACTAAGTTTCTCTGAAAGAATGTATTGTAGTTCATATGAAATGTTTTATTTTTGTTTTTGTTTTTAGGTCAGACTGTGCCAAAATCCCAAACTTCAGTTGAAAAATAGCCCACCATATATACTTGATATTTTACCTGACACATACCAGCATTTGCGACTTATATTGAGTAAATATGATGACAACCAGAAACTTGCCCAGCTCAGTGAGAATGAGTATTTTAAAATCTACATTGATAGTCTAATGAAAAAGTCAAAACGGGCCATAAGACTCTTTAAAGAAGGCAAGGAGAGGATGTATGAAGAGCAGTCGCAAGACAGGTAAGAATATTTCAGATTTCATTTCTTGGTGTTAAGGTCATTTATGTTGCCTTTTGTTTCATAGGTAGCATAAATATCACCATGTGTTTGTTTATGGGGAAATGTCATTTCACTTGTGTGTGCACTTTATTTACATTATTTAAATCTTGTAGTTTTACATAAATTTATGATAGTAGCTAGTTTGTGAGACAGTGTTTTTATATTTTTAATTTTGTTTTTTATAGCATTTTTAGATTTTCAGAAAAATATATGGAAAGTACAAAGTTCCCATATACTCTTCCCCCTCCTCATGCAGTTATTCCTATTGTTACTATCTCGTGTTGTGTGCTACCAGTATTGATACAGAATTATTAACTAAAATTCATAATTTATATTAGGGTTCATTGCTCTAAAAATGCCCTGTGCTCCTCCTCTCTATGTTTTAGCCTTATTGGAATATCATATAGTTTAAACCATGTAATGTAATACTTTCAGACTGGCTTCATTCACTTAACAATAGCTTGATAGCTCTTTTACTTTTATCCCTGAAAAATACTAATTACAAGGGCATACTACAGTTTGTTTATTCATTTACCTGTTGATGGACATCTTGGTTCCAAGTTTTGACAGTTATTGATAAAACTCCTATACATATTCATATGCAGGTTTTAGTGTAGACATAAGATTTTAGCTCATTTGAGTACATACCTAGGAGCATGATTGCTTGATCTTACGGTAATCCTATGTTTAGCTTTGTAAGAAACTCCCACACCTTCTTCCAAAGTGACTGTAACATTTCGCATTCCCACAGGCAATGAATGAGGGTTCCTATTGCTCCATATCCACCAGTATTTATATTGCAGACAGTGTCTTTAAGACAGAGTCTCGATTGAATGCATGGGTGTCATAGATGTGGATGGGAGTTGTACAAAAGCTTCAGCTCTCTTATACTTGTCTGTATAGTGAGAAACTGGACTGATGTGGCAGAGGCTGACGTGACATCAACTGATTCCTTATTTTTGTAGCCATATTCTTGACTTAGAAACTCCTCATTAAAGCTTGTTGAGCTAATTCAATTTTAAATTTTATGGTCTGTCTTAAACCAAATAAAATAACAAAGTTTGTTTTTTTTTTTTTAGTTGTGCGGTATTTTAAATATATCTAAAATATACACTGATAGTGATAATTTACTTAGATTTCCAAACTGAAAAACAAATATGGTATTAATTTAAATATATAATATCTTAACATAGTTTAGTTGAACTTCAGTTTAAGATACTTAACCTCTCTGGATTTTAGTTTACTTTTATATATAGGAAAATCTATGAGAAACCTCTAATGTTTCAGCTTGGAAAAACTAACCTAATGAAACATAGGATTGTATAAGAGAAAATTCAGTTATCAAGGTATGCAGACTCTGAAGTTGTCTGTGAAACAAATAATGCTGAGTGAGTAAACCTATCCAATTCAAATGTAGAAAAACCCTCTGCCAAATGTAAAATTCCATAAAGGTTTACTTATTTAAAATTTGCTCTATAAATTAGTGATGAGCCCCAACATAATCATAGGAGTCTAACTAGCTATCTAACTGTGGGTTTATCACTTAATATTCTTGGACCACAATTTACACATCTTGAGGGTGGTGAATCTTCCAGTTGCCTTTTAGCTTCAAAGCAATAAGACTTTTTCCAGGACTACCCAGGGGCGTTTGGATTGCTACAAGGAGCTGGAAGAAAGGTAGAGACCTATCATAGCGATTGTTTCTTCTTAGAGACCTTCCAAGAATGGCCAAGATGATGCAAAGCCAGATGTTTGTTTAAAACTGTATTTTCACTTTGTAGTTCTTACATTGATCTAATAAAACTAAGTTGTTTTAGAAACATTTTTATAGTTCTTACTCAGATTTAGTAGCCCTGAAATTCTTTCTGGTCCAGTAAGGTAATCCATTACCTTTTACATTTTAGGCTATTAGGACAATGAGAAGGTTGTAACTCTAGGTCTAGGAATTTGATTGATACAATGTTTTAATTGGATGTAGTAATATATGATGTGGTATACTTGTATCCCACTTTTACATCTTCTATAGTAACAAGAAACATTTTATAACTCATTAGATGTCTTGTAACAACAATTTCATTTATAAATTTTGATATTTTTGGGTTTTTATGTGGGAGCATGTCATGGGGGATGTTAAAAATTTTGGTTGATTTTATGGAGATTTCTATAGATGATGATAGATTGCATAAAGCTGACTGATTATGTTGAGACTACTCTTTAAATTTTGTTTTAAGTACATTTTGTCACTCTCCTAAATTCAACCCTAAGACAAAGTTTATTAGTTTTTTTGCGGATATAGCATTCTTCATTGGATTTTACTGTTGTCCATGTCCCATATTCTGATAGTGCTCTGAGGCCAGCTGTATTTATGCAAAACTTGTATTTGGTAAATATATAGTCATAATTTATAATGTACCATTCTTGGTACACCATAACAAAGACATAGATTTTTGGTTTATCTTTTTTTTGGTAGTAGTGTGCTTTTACACATTCACTTCCAGGTTCCCCTAGGATTCCAAATGCAAACTGAGGCTAAAGTGTGCCATTGAATTTGGAGCTTCCGGGCATTTTGCCCTATAGACTACAAAAGAAACTTATTAAAATGTTATGGTTGACAGGCAACAGTATTATATTTAGTAGAGAGACTGTTATCTAACATGTATGACACTACATGTTAGTACTACATGTATTATTGAGAATATTATAAATTTTCTGAATAATCTTTTTAAAAAAATTCTGCAAATAATCACTGAGGATATTAGTATTATTGTTAAAAATGAAGGACAGTAATAGTACAAATAGTAACTTGGAGTTCATTGATTACACCAGTATTTTCTCTAGTGATTTGGTACTTTATTTAAGAAAATTGTGCTGGATGAGTACATGAATAAAAATGTTTATTTTAATGTCCCTTTGTATCAAAAATAAACTCTGGATTTGTTTTAAATGTAAGGGAGAAAAATTCAAGTATCAATTTTGAACTTGCTCTGTTTTAATTGTCAAAGTATGAGTAGCCTGAATTTTTAAAGCAATTTAACATACATGTGATAAATATAAGAACAAATAGAAAAATAAATATGGCAAATTGCACAAAATGTATATCCTGAATACAAGGCAGGAGGTAGAAGTTATAGTTAGAAAAAATTATTTACTACAAAACAGATATTCAGGGCACATACTGCAAGCCTTTTGCTTTGAGAATGGGTGGAATAATGACTTCTGGAAGAGGCAGGCCTTGCTTGATTTTTACAGTAAACCTCTTCCTTGTCTAGTTTCACTTTTTTCCATTGTTTGTTGTTGTTGTTGTTTTTGTTTTTCTACCAAAAATTGAACCTCACACTGAGTCGCTGTTTCTCCGGCTGAGTGTCTAAACCATTCTGAGCTGGTATGTCTGGGAAGAGTACAGTGATTTTTGGCATACAAAGTTTTTGAGTGTTATGTGTGGAGTGGGGTTGGAGAGCTTGTAGAGAAGGGAGATATACTTTTAAGTACAGGGAAGAGGTGAAACTTTATATCGTATTGCTCAAAGTTTTAGTGGCAAAAGCAAAATGGGTGTGAAGGCAGTTAGAGCTGACAAGTGTTCATACTGATGGAGAGGCCTTTCTTCAATGGCTTGACTTGCAGTTTGATCAGATGACCATTTTATTAGTAAAATTTACTCTCTTATATAAAAAGTTATGTATTAGTCACAGATTGTGCAAGGCTGGTGTTGGACATTGTTTTTAAGAACATCCAGAGGTGATAGCCTAATTTTATTCAGATTTTCCATGTTTTAGATCTGCTTCAGTGAACCATAGCGCTACAACCCATTTTTTCCTCCCCACACTCTGGTTTGCAACCACTAAAACAAAACCAAAAGTCGACTGAGGTGGAAAATAGCCCTGTGTTTGATAACCTATCTGTGAAGAAAATAAAGGCTTTTATAATATTTGTGCCATCTACATAATATATAGATGTTGTGTTATTATTAATGTTACTTCAAAGTCCTGAACCATTCTTATATACATGTTTTGTAGAAAACAAATCATAGTATGTATAGTTTGTATAATATTGATTCCAATTAAGATGTTTTTTAGAAGTGTTTTTACATCAAAAAATTAGTTCTAAAAGATGCTAGCCTTTATTTAAAGTCCTTCAGGAAAAAAAAATATTTTCTTCATTGAAGAAAGAAAAATGTATAACATATTACATTATTAAAATACCTTACCTCCTAAAGGACCACAGATCACTTGTGCTTGCTGTTTGCATCTGTGTTGTCATTTATGAGATAGTGTACCAAGAAGATTTTGGAAATGATAAAGATACATGATAAAGTTGAAAGTTGAAACAATACAACAATAACAACAATAAAAGCAACAACAAAACACAAAACTGCAAACAAACCTACTTTCATGCCTCGTATCCCTGTATGACAACACTGCTTTGGCCAAAGAATAATGTTGCATTAATCTAAATATTATATTTGTATAAATACAAAACATGTTGATTACATGTTTTGAAGTAATTCTGAAATTCCTCATGGATTTTCAGTTTAACCACATAAAGAGATTGACCTGTTTGCACAATGTGGGCTTTATGTAACAGTTTTAATTGTTACTAGACCTCACAGGGTATGGCCTTGTTTATAATGTCACTTAGTTCCACATTTTCTTATAGGCAGCTCTGTACATTATGAGAAGGAAATGAGGAAAGAGTGCTGTTGAACTGAATGCAGGAATCTCACGGTCTGATGCCTTTTCTGCTCCAAGTGGTCTTTGTAACCTTTCTTAGTTTCCTGACTCCAGCCTGTTTTCTCAGCCTTTAAATTATTTTCTGGATAGTCATACAGTTATTTGGCTCAGATATTTCAACATCATAAAAGGAAGGTGTAGTTTGTTTCAGACAAATGCTGCTCTTGCTACATTAGTTTATTAAATAGTTTTTCAAATTCAGTAGTCATTTATGGCAAAAATATTGTTTTTATT